AGATTTCCAAGGGCCTCAAAGAACTAGGTAGGAAGTTAGATTTTATTTATGTAAAGTGATAACTTTAACCAAAGAAATAAAATGCAAGTTGGTGCTAAGTGAGAAGTTGAAGATGAAGACTAAAGAGTGGGAGGGAATTAGAATCTTCTAGAAGATTATGGCAGAAATCTAGATAAATTAGGATGACAGACTATAGAGAGCAGTAAAAGTGGGGATGAAGACATGGGTATACAAAAAAATATTCAAAGGCACACAGTGTTCAATAAACAGACCTCACTATTTGTCTTTTATTCTCGAAAGAGAGCACATAAGAACTTTACCAGGCCCATTGAAATGGAAAAAAATGATAACATACTTGGAGAGTAATACAAATTCTTTTGTTCAAAAGTTATTAATCATCTATAACTGAAAATGAGATCTCTCTTTATTGGCAAAGAACTAGAAATTTTCACTAAAATAAAAACTGAAAAACAGTAAAAAACTAAACCCTGATTGAGGATTCATTAAACATACAAAAAACAAGCTAACTCTTCTTCATGGTTTATTCCTCCACCTCCACCTATAGCAACAAATCAGTCAACATACCACAAAGTCACATTAATGACCACTATTAAAATAAGCTTCATATGGAGTCAAAGCAGTTGATTTACTCATTTTTTTCACTTCTCAACTTATTCCTTTGAAATAAGAATATGATCCTATTAACTAAAGAAATGACTTTTTTAGCTGCCTCAGAGAAGATCAATTTGATCTCTTTTCCCAAATACAGATCTGGAGAGCAAGACTGCATGTTTTACTTTGGGCTAAAAGAGCTTATTTGGAAACTATGTAATATATTTAATAATACTTTTATTTAATGTATTTAATAAGACTTTTTAGATGTAATTGTTCTGGTGTTTTCCAAATCAAACTATTATGTTTTCTTTTGTGCAACTTTGTAACTACCATATGAAAAATATTACAAATAAGTGCAATAATAATTATATACTTTATATATTCATACATTTATTATTTATAATATATATTACTTGAACATATTTTATATGTTTATATTCCTAAGTTAATTATATATATTATTTATATATTTACATAATTTAAGTGCAACATAATCTTTGCTGAAGATATAAATAGCATACAGTGATTCTCACAATGTAAGTGGGTTTATAAGACATTCAAATCATCAAGTTAATGTCTCCAAAGTATGGTTTTTTATCAATTCATTTTCTATATTGTCATAAAATGTTGCTTATGATTGTTATTTCATCAGTCATTCTTCTCAGGGTTCTTAAGTATTTTTAAAATGATTATAACTTATTCACAGCCAAACTTTATATGGGTACTATTTTTTAATATTGATTCATCACCAAAGTAAATAAAGTTTGTCCCTGAGTAATAAAACATGTTATTTTTTTTTAAATTGCATGAATCTTTCATTTAAATGTTATTATAAATTGTCTGCTTACTGTAATATAATACAGTGAAGACCACATTTATCTAAATGGGGGCTGACTTCCATAAGTCATAATTACTGAACTTGAAATAATTATGTGTAAATAAATGCATTAATTGATTGATTTTCTTTATAAAAGTTACACTTCACTTTATGGATTCCATCTCAAGAGCCTCCCGTATTTGCCAAATTTCAAAGAAAAAGTGTCACAGAAGTTGAAACACTGGAAGGAGTTAGAGGACTAGCACAGAAGGTCCCAGAGATGAGTGAGACCTGGAACTGCTGCTGTGGGGCCTGAACAAGAACTGCCAGTGTGAAGGGGTTTGTGTGTGATGAGCGGGAGGGGGTGGCCCAGGAAAAGAGGAAAAACAAACAAGAGCTAATCATAAAGGATCTTGTAAGCCACACCAAGCAATTTAAATTTCAGAACTGCTTGTATTTGAAAGACACTGAATTGTTAAAAAGACAAAATGAGGTTCTGAATAAATACTGTATCCTTTTTAGTTTCACAGGACAGAGTACTTAAAAATCCTCCGTTTCCTTTCCTGCCTCTTCTTCATATAGATTCTTACATTACAAAAATAGAATAAATGAAGCCAGTGGAGTATCTGCATAGCAAATAATTTACTTCAAAATTATACTGGGACTTGAAAGTCTTAGAAGAATTTCTCTATGGAAGAAACTTTAAAGTTGATTTCTAGGGTAAGATATAGAAAACTTAAATATTTTTTAACCAAATCATATTAGAGCTATTTACTGCACTGAAGCAGTAATGAATTCAACAATTTCCCTAGCCAGTTACTCTAGATAAAACTACACTATTATGTCCCTTTACTGATGGACAAAAAAGTTTCTAAGGTGAGAGAAAACATGATTTCAAGGCCACTGTAGTTAAGCAATACACGTTTAGGTCACATACTATGCTGGATCCTTGGAAATGCATGAGATTTATTTCCAACTCTTCATGCACTGGGAAAATCTGGCCAATAATAAATTCAAAATACACAGTAATAAAGAGCAGGAAAACAACATTAAAAATAAGTGTCAAACCTTAAACTGCAACAGGAGGGATGTAGATGAGATAGAAAACAGTTCTTCCTCTCATTAGAGCAGTTAAACATTAGAATAGGTTATCAGGTAAAGCCTCTGTAGACTCTTCTTTTAAAGGTTTTTAACATCTGAGAGGCAGCCATTTATCCTGAATCACTGAGGTGTGTCCTGTCTGCCAGCAGGTGAAGGACTAGGTGACCTCTGAATTCATAAGTCATAAGTTCCTTGTTACCCAATGCCTGATTCAGTTATTCAAGCAATCTTTTTTCAGAAGTGATAATCAGCAATATCAAACAGGCTACAAATTAAATATTTTCCTATTTTAACTATGAAGAAACCACAATGAAAATATGTGGATAACAGATTAAGATCATTTGGAAAAATCCAAGAATTTTTTTAAAAACTATCCTTTAGATGGTAAAATAATCAGTATAGAAACAATTTATAATTTTATCATTTCTAGGTGATATTGGAAATATGAGCAAGCATTATGAAAAGAGTTGCAGAAATACTTTTTTATGTAATATAAGTGAAATTATAAAACTGATAATGCAAAATGTAATTTGGTACTTTCTATACTGTGATTACTTTGAGCAGACACTTAAATCTGTCCCTTTTCCTTCACCACTCTTCATTTAAATCATGAAAAAGTTCAGTTCTGTGTTTGGCACAGATGCCTTTAAGGAAAATAAATTATCTTAATCAAAGCAGCAAAGGATCAATAAACAAAGGAGGATATAACAGAGATACTGTCATTCCAAAAAGCTACAAAGTTTCATCTTGCTCCTTATCTTTATTCTTTCTAACTCCCTGTCTTCATTTCTCACCTCTGGAAGCTAATTTTTGCCATGCAGGACAAATAACAATTAAAACAGTATTTTTAATGTAACTATAGAAATTATAAAATGACCCATGACATCTTTACTTGAAGAAATATCTTACATGTACTTTTGAATATATATTCTTAAATAAATCACACTTCTTTTCAGAAAATAAAGCTGCTCTTTCCTTAGAACTTCTGAAACTTGTTTTGAAAATATAAATTCATGTTAAAAATAAAACTGAGGCAAAAATTAGATTGAAATATCATCAGGCAGTGATTATGGCGGGTTTATGCAGTTAATGTTCTATACTATAGGTATCATTAAAATGATCATTTTTAAAATAAAAGAACTGCCAACTGTATTGTTTTAACCATAAGGTTTTTAGACTCAGAAAACAAAATGTGCAAAAAACTAGATTACATTGACCTTCCTAGAACTAGCACTTGGTAAATATTTTTAGAACAAAATTTCCACAACTTGCAAATAAAGCCTAGACTTAGGATTTTGAACTTCTTTGAATTTTTACCTACCTTCAAATATATTCAGAAGGTGCTCCAAGTAAGGTCATGCTGGTGCTTACATACCACAACCTCTAACATATAAGGTAAAAAAAAGTTTTTAATGAAAATGTTGTCTTAGTTTATAGCCAGAATTGAATAATAAATTATAATATCTCTCTTTAAGTTAAAATAACACCTCATTTCACTAAATTTAATTGAAGTTAAATTACTTTTAATAAGTTATTCCCCTTGCCCTCCAAAATCAACAAATCTTTCATATCACAGCAACCTTCAAGTTTTTAATTTTTTCTATGGAAAAATTAAAATAATACTTTAAATGAAATTAAATTAGTCTAACACTTGATGCAAAGACACCACCAGTCATGGAACATATCTGGGGATTACATACAAGTAATAATCTAGTGTATTCTGTCTTGTATTCATCATAGATTACCGTAAATTTTAATTCTCTCTGTTGCAATGTTTAATTGACAAAAATAAAAAGAACACAGTAAAGGACTCATGGCAGCGAGTGGTCACAAACCCAAGATTTCTTCTTTTCTTCTTCTCTTTTCTTCCCCTTTCTGTTTTGTAACCATGGTGAAACAATAGAAGTGAACTTTCCCTGAACTTTTCTCTTTAAAGGCCTGGGTCCACATTGACCCAGCAGGGCAAGCTGGAACCTGATACTATCAGCCCTAGGGCTGCTAAAGCAATCAGGTTCAACAACAACCATATATGTTCCCTAATATCAGTTTGCCACAAAGCCAAAGCAACAGCAAGCTATTTCTAGTAAAGAATGTCTTTCTATTGTTTTAGAGATTAATTCAATAGTCTAAACGTGCATAAAACATGGACTAAATGGTAGACTACAGAAATATATTGTTGTTCTCTTATAATTATATCAATACCAAAGTTTATTTGCTGATAAGGCCTAAATCCCACACACACAAAAAAGCTCCTAGATGGATTATTCATGAACAAATCATTTAAATCTTTATAGATTTAGATGATGTTATATTTAACCAATTCATTTCACTAATTTTTTTAATAAATTAAGCCTGTTTTATTACTTCAAGTGTTAATGATGAAAAAAAATTTGAGCACAGCTGTTACATTTAAAAAAGTGAAAACTACATACTGTTTCTAGCTCAGTAAACAGATGAACCTGATGTCTCTGAATTACATAATTGAGCATTGTACACTACATCTTATGAGGACCCGTAAATTAAAGAACTACTAGTTTAAAGTTAGTGATTATGAAACAAGTATTTATTCATAGTTTCAGCTTCTTTTTCTTTCCTCCACCATCAGTTGCTCCATCCATTTTACGTTTCTGAGTTGAAGGCTTTGGTTCTCGTTTCTTTTTCTCTGCCTTCTCTTTTTCTTCTAGTTCCATGTTTTCTCTTTCAATCAAGGTAATTAAGGTGTTACATCTCTTCTGGAGCTCCATTGCTGTTCTGGACTTAAGAAACCAGTCAAATCTGAACTGTGGAGAGTTGCAAATACACTGTCGTAATTCACTATAAACATTTTCTTTGTCAAATCCAAGTTTGTGCAGCATGCAGATCATAAAACGATCCTCTTCCTCAGTATAGTTTTTTCCTTTGTTAGTACCATATGATATTCTCAGCTGATGGAAAGGTGCTTTGTACCGTCCAATCTTTGTGTCAAGTGCTTTTTTGATACTAATTCTTCTTTGAATTCTTGCCTCTCCCCTTTCAATCTGAGCCATAATCTTCTGTATGTCTTGGAGTTCATTGCATCTTCCCCAGAACACAGCTGAATATTCAGTAACTTCTTCTGGAGTTTTTCCTTCTACTTCTCTTGCTATATTTTCAATATCATCACGGCCCCACTTCTCATTAGCTTTGATAAACTGATTAAAATCTCTCTTATTCCAATTGGTAAATCCCTGTGTTAGAAGCTTCTCTTTTTCTTCTAATTCTTCATCATTTAGGGGTTCAGCTTCATCAATTTTAATCTTTTCTTCTTTTTGTGCTTGTGCTGCATTTGGTAGGTCAGGATTTCGAGGCACCTTGTACCCAATAGTTTTTCTGTAATATAGAATTTCTTTTTCCAGTAATTCAAACAAACGTGGAGGAAAAAACTGGAAATCCTGAACATTGGGTTGTTTTGGAGGTCGAGGAGTCTTTGGTGCTTTAGGTTCACTGACACGAAGAGCTTCCCTGAAATAGGTATCAACAGCATAGTTGGCTTTTCTTTCTCTTTTAGGTGGTTCAATCCACTCTGTGAAAGCAATCTTTTGTTTTTCTCTATAATCTTCTCCTTCAAAGTTATAAACACTCGATTCTGCATTCATTGTAAAGTCTCTAAGTGAGCTTTCACCCATCTTGGAGAGTTTTTCATTCATCTCTGCAGTCTTCTTTGCACCTCTTTCCAAAATACCATCAATATCTTCATCAGTAATCTCACTTTCCTTTGAAGCAAATACATGTGTTGCCCCATGTCTGATCATTTGAAGCATTTCATCTTTGCCAATTTTGTTCAGATTCTGATCCCCAAGTCTTCCTTGTTGAATGACTATTGAATCCAGTCTGAGTTTCCTCTCAGCACGTTCCACTATTCTTTCTTCTACAGTGTTATCAGTTATAAAGCGGAACACTCTGACTGTCTTGGTTTGTCCAATTCTATGTGCTCGGTCCATAGCCTGGAGATCTACTTGGGGATTCCAATCTGAATCATACAAAATTACTACATCAGCAGTAACAAGATTGATGCCAAGACCACCAGCATGCGTGCTTAACATGAACACAAACTTTGTGCTGTTTGGTTCATTGTATGCACTGATGGACTCTTGTCTCTCATCATGGGGTGTCTGCCCATCTAATCTGCAGTACTCATAATTTCTCCACATACAATAATCTTCCAGAATATCTAGCACCCTTGTCATTTGACTGAAGATTAGTACTCGTGAACCTTGTTCTTTTAATTTAGGGAGCAGTTTGTCTAATACCACCATTTTGCCACTGTTGGTAACTAGATGCATATCTGTGGTATAAGGTGGACCAGGTTCAGCTCCATCAAAGAGATATGGATGATTGCAGCATTTCCTCAACTGCATCAGGATGTTCAATAACCTCATTTTGTCCATCTTCCCTGCAGAGTTTAGTATATCCATATCCTTCATTAATATCCGAGTATACCATTCCCTCTGCATTTTGCTCAAACCCACATAGATTTTTACTTCCTTCTTTGGAGGCAAACTCTTCTCAACATCAGCTTTAATTCTTCGAAGGAGGAATGGGCGCAATACCATATGAAGCCTTTCAACTAGCTTTTGATCCCCAAGGCAATTATTTGTATCAAACCAGGAATCAAAGTCATCAGATGAATTAAAGACATCTGGCAACAAAAAATTAAGAATTGACCAGAGCTCATGCAAGTTGTTTTGAAGAGGTGTTCCAGTTAATAATAATCGATTTGTAGTCTTGAATTCCCTCAGTATTTCTGATAACTTAGACTTTTCATTTTTGATTCTGTGAGCTTCATCTATAACTAAGTACCTCCAATTAAACTTTTTGAAAACGGATTTCTCTTTTATAAGCATTTCATAAGATGTTACACATACATCCCATTCTCCTGGTAATAAAACGTCCCTGACAAAAGCAGCTCTTTGTTCTTTATCTCCTATCAAACAAACAGACCTAAGTGTTGGTACCCATCTCTTGAATTCACTCATCCAGTTGTGTAATGTAGATTTAGGAACCAAAACCATATGAGGACCAGGAATGTTTCTATAGTGTTTCATATACCCAAGAAGAGAAATTGTCTGAAGAGTTTTTCCCAGACCCATTTCATCTGCAAGGATACCATTGATGCCATTCTCATACAAAGAAATGAGCCAATTTAATCCTCGAACCTGATAATCTCTCAGTTTACCCCATTTCACATACGATGGAGAGTCTTCAAATCGAGTGCAAACGTTGGTTGCTTTGGAGCTTTCTGTTAGTAGTTCTTCATCCTCCGCTTGCTCTGTTCTACCGTGTCGGTAGTCGCCTACTGATTGCAAGTTCTGTTTCTTATCCTTTTTTATTCGTTGGCGTCCTGGTTTCATTTTCAAAGGTGAGGTTTGAGTCTTCTGAGCAGCAGGCTGAATGAAATGTGCAAACAGCTCTGTTTGCTTTAATAAATACTCAAACCTATTGGCTCGGTCAGTTTGCATTTTTTCTTCATAAGTAGGATCTGGCTCTTGGATTTCTTTTTGCTTTCCAGGAGATGCATCATCAAATACTTCCTCCATGTCGGAGTCCGCGGGTCCCACGGGTCCCGCGCCGGCTGCGGAGGGGGCCGCCTGAGCCGCGACGCCTTCGGGGCCGCCTTTGTTGCGTCAGCGTTCCCCGCAGCTGCCAGAGGACAGGCCCTGCGGGGATGAGCAGACAGCCGAGGCCTGGGCGGCTACGTCACAACTGGCCGGTGGAAGCGCGAGAGCCCCCCCCCACCCCCGAAGGCCCCCTGCGCCGCGGTCCCGCGACGGGCCTGAGGCAGGTCCAGCAGCCTGGCCTCTCGCGTTGGCCTCGTCTTCCGCGGGGCTGCGGCTTCTATTTCACTAATTCTTATGGCAACCTGTCCTAACAGGTAACACGGCTTAGGAAATTTCTTTTTCATTTTCTTCTATAGGCAATTAAGGTATGAAGACATAGTTGATTAAATCCACTAATTATTTGTTATTTCTATAACCACAGCATGATAAATAAGGCATAGATGGACTACAGTAATATCATTTCCACCACTTCCATTCAAAAGGGTATTGGCATTTCTCTTTTAAATCCAGTTTCTAAAAATTTGCAATTTGGTAACATCGTTTTTTTAGGAGTGACTATATCCACAAACAAGTGAAGAGATAAATTTAATTTCTAATATTCACAAATAAACCTTATGGAAGTAGGTTAGGTTCAGCCTTTTTTCATCTCCTACTATTCATCTACAATATATACAAAAATTTATTAAGGATGATATAATAATAAAGGGAAGTTATTCTATCATTACTTGACACCCTCTCAAAATGTCTATAGATACTTAAATAAATAGCATACATATGACTATTATTAATTACGTTCAAATGCTAACAGCAATGCTAAAATAGTGACTACATTATATTATTTCTTCCTGAATATTATCCCCTATACTATATGGATTTTATAGTAATACTTTCATAGAAACAGTTTCAATGGTTCCAATAATACTGGTGCATCACATGGATGAGGTCTTTGTGACAGTAACAATAGGTCTCAGCATACCAATGAGAAGAACTCAGAATTGTGCCCAACACATGAGGGGTTCAGAAAATATTAACTGAATGAGGAGATAGGGACTGTTCTAGAAAGTCCAGTTCATTAGCCATTGTAAACACAGTTGTTCCTAAAGGATAATTTTACAGAATAATATAACAAAATAATCATTTTTTGAAAAATAAAACAAAATTTAGAACAACTTTTTTTCACACTTTTACTGGTTCAAGTAAGTCAACTGCTAGTTGAGATCCACTTGTGTAGGTATAATGTGCTTAAGTGTAGTAATATATACACTTTAGAGGTGGTCACTCTAAATACAATGAGATCTATTCCAATTGATTAAATATATACGATTCCTTATGAAAACACAGGTTAATATTTCTATTCCACTTTCCTTAAACTGACTTTCCAAATAGTAGTATGAATAATACCACTAAAAGTGCAGGTTCAATTCTAATTCAATGTTTAAGAAGCCTATCTTCAAGGGCATCAATCAGAGAGATTAAAATTTTTAAAGTGTATTGTAAAATAGAAAGGATAGAAATAAGCCTACGGAGCTAAGAAAAGAAGTGGGCAGAGGGACTACAGGCCTAATAATTGTCTAACTTTTGAGGTCATATAGTGGATTCATGAATTATCTTTTCTCCCAGTTTGAGAACATCAGGAGTTAAGACTGAATTTGCTGATGAAGAAGGGAAAGCTAATATAAGCAGGACACTCACTGTGCACCAGGTGAGTAGCATATCTCATCTCATTTAACTTCTAACAGTCCTAGAAGGCACATATTATTATCTCCATTCCTCCAATGATGAAATTTGAGCTGACTGACCCAACAGCAGACTCAGGAATTCCAGATCTTCATGTCAGACCCATGTATCTCTGACTTCAAAGCCTGTGCTTATTTCATTATAACATGGTGTCTCCAAATAATAGAGACAATAGATCACTTGCTCCAGCATCAAAAGACAGAAACTGCCACGTATTAAATGTGTGACCTTGGCAAGCCACTTAACCTTTGGTAAGCCACATCTTCCCTTTCCTAACATGTTCAAGTGATGCTGTGGCAGGTAAAATGTTTAAATCAGAAATAAAATAGCCAAAGAAGCTAGTAGCATCAGATAAGAAGAATGTGAACTATGCGAACAAAGGGAAAAGCTCAGCATATTTTGTGACTTCCAAGAGTTCATTTTTCCAATTTAAGAATGCAGCTTCTTATATTTGTGTCATCATCTTCATCCCATTTCTACCTTAATGTTACTATTCTTCCTCCTTACCTGCCCGATTTCACTGAGTAGACATTACACAGGAATTTTAATAGCTGTCAATATCTTTTCTAGTGAGAAAAGGATTATCAAACAAACTATATAAATAAAAACACAACCTTCAGTCTAGTGGGATAATTAATGAGCTCTAAAGAATAACTTTCTTTGAACATATTTTTTACAAAGTAACAAATATTCTAGTTATTAAATAGAAAACTTGGTACCCTGAAATAACTTCTAAATTGGCTTAGAAATGAAATCGAAGTCTAATTCATCAATGATTAAAACAAACTTCTGGGAACTTGGAAGTAGTGTTTTCCTTTTCCCCTTGAGTTCTAAACACCATTTTTTCCATTGGTGTACTGAATATGTGGATATTTCACAAGCACTTCAAATTCAGTATGTCAAAAGTAAATGTTTAGGGTAATATGCACTCCAAACCTGCACCTCATCACCTATTATAAGAAATGTATCTGTTAATAAACCACTCTGTGTCCACTGCCAAAGCCAGACCCAGGGTCACCCCAATTCCTTCTTCTCTTTAGTGTATTTTCTACTTCTCAGCTCAATGGTCACCAGCTCCTTTTGATTCTACCTGTGATATTTTTCATCTCACTCTCTTCATTCACATTGTTCCTGCCTTATCTTAGGTCCTTTCCCTTCCATTCCTGTAGTCTACTGACCTGAGTGATCTATACAGAAATAACATTCCAGCACATTCCGTGAACTCTGCAAATCTTCCAAAGCTCACCAAATTTCTTATCATAGCATTCAAGACCCTTTAGGAGCAAATGCCTCAATTCCTTTCCAGTATAACTTCTCAAAACTTTCCCACCCTCACTCAGTACCTAATTATTTTCATATATCCATGCTTTACAGATGCTAATCCTTCTGCCTGGAATGCCCTTTCCTTCAATTGTCCATGAGAGAACCCCTAAGCCAATTCATATCAATTACTTCCCTAATCTCCCTAGGTACATGTGGCTCACCAACTTCCATCCACTTCCATACCATGGACTGTATTATAATACCTACCATGGTAATATAATAATGTATATATCATTTTTGTGTAGGCACACAAAGCCTTTAAATGCAATAGCTATATTCTATTTATTTCTGTTTCTCTAGAATTCAACACAGTCTGGTAACTAACAGAAAATTAACACTGTATCTGCTGGATAAATTAGCTGGAGCAAGAACAAATTAATAACTTCCAAAAAAAACTATATATCATGCATGAAGTTAACAGAAAATATTAAAATTCAAGAAGCCTTCCAAAAAAGAACCATCCTTCATTAAATTAGAGACATAATATAAAATGTTAAGGATTCATCTAAAGACTTCTAATGAAAAATCAATTATATTAATGTGAATACATACAAAATTTAAAATACAAAATAAACTAAAGCTAAATGATGCAGAATATTATGTGCTACAAAAATTTTAGTTTAAAAATTCTCTTAAGTGTTTATCAAATAATACAAAATATTAAGTCATCATTGCCCTTTAAATCCTTTCAAGAAGAATTCCCTAATTGTACTTTCACTTTATCTCACTGTACCAGTAAGTAAATAAATTAACAAAATAGCTTTTATCACACGGAATAACCTTTTAACTGAGGGATTATCTCTGGTTTATTTTTCATTTCTTTCATTGCAGATAGCAGTTCATGCCTCATTGATTAGTTTGCTAAGGTGATGACCAGAAATGAAAACACAGTCTTTCACATTGTGTAAGTAATCACACACACACACACACACACACACACATTCATTCATTCTATGTCTCTATGCCTGGCATTTAGTTTCTAAGAAAGAAAGCCTAGAGTTATAAATATTTCATTTCTATTAGCCTGTGCTCAGGTATCACTCCGCCTCTTAGGTTTATTTCTCATTTGTACTTTTTTATGCATGTTCATTAAATTGCATTCAAGGGTTTCTTAGTCACAATTTAAACAGTGCATTTCATGACAACTTTCAGGGAAAGAGAAATATGAAGTCAGTGGAAAAAAGCCTAGTTTCCTTCAGCTTTTCCTATAGAAAAGCTGTAATGTCTGTAGCCCTTTGAAAGCACTTATATTTGAGTCTTGCCATATTAATATTAAGCTCATAATTTTCAGGAAGATTTTTAGATCTAACATTCCTTTCCTTTCTTCAACCAAAAAAATTTGGAATTACTCATCCAAAAAAACTCTTAAACAACAAATTAAAAACCCAGAAATCAAGTATAATGGTAAGTGTTCATCAGAGTAACTGGAACCATGGAGGGCAAGTCCTTCTGGCTGTTCAGTTGCTGTCAGGACTGCTGAGTCCCCACCCGGATGTTTGAGAAACATCATTGAATACTTAGTATACATCAGAAGAGAACAAACACTGGCTTGAAGGGCTCAAAATCCAGAACAAGAGGGAAAAGATAATATGGACAATAAAATCTTCGAAAGGAGGTTAGGACAGAATAGGAACATTAAAACATTTAATAAAGAAATCAAATAAAAGGCAGATTAAATTATTCCTTTCACTTCTGAGCTCAACGATAAAGGGAAAAGCGTTTGGGCCAAACATATGGAAGGGGCCTGTTGAGAGTCAGAGGCAAAATATTATGTTCCTCTGAGATCCTTGCCCCTTCCGAGGTCAAGCAGAAGTTGGACACGTTTTCCAATTTAACAGCAATTCTGTAAGACACACATTGGCATCTGGTACAGGTTTCAGCTCACTCACTGCTGAGGCCTCTTTCTAATCTGAAATTCTATTAGTCCCTTCACTGCAACACACTCTCTT